CCTTCTCCCTCAGGATGCATTCAAAGTGGTTTTCAACACAGATAATATGTGCTTGCTCAACCCTTCTCCAGCATGCTAGTTGTTGACTTTTCCTCAACCTCTCATCCAGAGTTGTAGAACCTCTTCTAGTCCAAAGGTTGAACTCCATTCCAGAGAGTCTCTCAGAGGCCTTTCCTGTGATGGCCAGAATTGAAGGCAAATGACTTGATGCCAAAATACCATAAAGCAAACATAGATTTAGCTTACAGTTCTTCCGGTTAGTAACTGAGCCTGAGGAGAAGTATGCCAGCCTTTCAGAAACTGCACAGAATATGGAAAATCACCAAACAATCAGAGATTTGGGGTGAGGGTCGTTTGGTTGGAACCTCAATAGCATGACATTCCACACTGTTACTTGAAGGTACCGTATTTTTCGCTCTATAAGACGCACCTGACCATAAGACACACCTAGTTTTTAGAGGAGGAAAACAAGAAAAAATATTCTGAATCAAATGGGCACATAATCACAGGCACATTCCCCATCACTTCCCCATGGGCTGCACATCTGACAGACTTACTGCACAGACATAGTCGCTCTATAAGACGCACAGACATTTCCCCTTACTTTTGAGGGGGAAAAAAGTATGTCTTATAGAGCAAAAAATACGGTATTTTCTTCTTGTCTGAACTTATTTCCTAATTTTCAAGGTGCTAATGTGAGTAGCCACCAGCGATGAAAGCCAGAGACCTTTAGTGGTCTTTCCCCAAAGCTACAAAAGCTTCTGGATGAGGGTTGAATTAGCACTTGGGAAATGTCAGAAGCAGCATTTATGGTATTGTCATTCTGGATCCTGGCTCTGTGTCTATTATCATCTGTGTGAACATATAAACACAGTCCCCTGAGTAGTAAAAACGGCATAATCTTTTAGGGAGATACCACTGGGTTTGATGGAACTCCATTTACAGAATTACTTCACAAACCAAAAAGCCCTCATGAATCCCTAAAGAAGGAAGCACCTCAATACAGACTACGTATGGTCAGAGACCAAGCACAGTAGCTGATGCTTTGGAATCAGGGGAACAGAAAACCAAGAGGATAGAGAAGTGGGTTGGTATCTCCTGGAGGAGCATATGGGTGAAACCCTGAACAAGGGTACTCAACACTAGCACATTTTATGGCATGCTCCACTTTTTTGTTTTGTAAAGTTTCTCCCTCCAGATTCTGAAGATTTATAACTCCCACTTCACATACCCTAAGGTTGCAAGCAAATTTCTGAACAGTGGCTTGATAGCCCAAACTTGGACTTGCTCAGCTGGGCACTGGTTTGAGAAATGGAGCAGGCACTGAGACGTGCTATCTGGCTACCAGTCCTGGAGTTCCCTGTGCCTAGGCAGGAGGGAAGGGCAGTGGCGGAGAGACAAAGCAACATAACAATCAGGAACATGGGTTCCAGGGCTCCTGCCAAGCAAAAAGTTACACTCTAATCAGCAGGCTTTGTTGGACTCTTCTTCAGCACAGATGTTCTGTTAAACATAATAGTAAATACTGTCCCAGGGCATATTCTGGAACTGAAATAGAGATAGTCTTTTCATGTCACTTGAAATGTCACTTGTACGTCTGAAATGGAATTGTGGTATGTATATTTTTATTTGCACATCATTTTAAATGTTAGGAATTTTAATCAGGATTTAACTTCACAGTCACTTTTTGGTTTTGATTTTGTTCCTATTCTTGACTTTGCTTTTGTTTTGATTCTCCTTCATTTGTGAAATGTTATTGGTTTTATGTGAATATTTAACCATTCATTTAATTATTGTTAATCTCTTAGATTATTTGTTTTGGTTTTTGTAAGCTGCCCTGAGATGCTTTTGTGTATAGGGAGGGGTATAAATATTTTAACTAAATAAATAAGTGTTGGAGAGGACCCAGACTTCAAGTTTGTACTAGGCCCTCCAAAATTGGGCTTGGGCTTTTTCTGGGAAAACAGCTCTTTGTAACAGGGATGAGCAGAAAGAAGATGGCCAGCTGTTTTGGACTTTGAATGGTCTTGACTATTGACCATGCTGAAGTTAAAGTTGAAAACTTCTGGAGCTCTACCATCTGTCCGCTACTACTCTGAAAAATGAAGGATCTTGCCCTCTGAGGCTTCATAAGGGGAAACCAAAACTTGAATTTTGCTTAAATACCCCCCATCAGCAAATACGAAGAAATCCTGTCAAACTGAGCCATTAGTTTTTCACTTGTGTTTGGGTTATCCAATTTCCTTCTATTTAATTTTTCTCCCTCCTAGAGGGCTAAATTCAAAGGAACTGTTCCTATTGCATCTGATAGACTCAAAGTTAATAAGAAACATCACCAAGAAAAGAGAACTATTTTTATTGGAATGGATGATGGGATTTTTCTCCCCCAAACTATCCCAGACATTTCTGAGGTTCAGTTTCAGATCAGTTATATATATATTCTTTTGCTGCAGCGTTTCTAGCAATGCATATGAGTATGTTTTTGATGTAAACCTCTGTAAACTAGGTATATGCCAGTACCCCACTGTTTCCACTCAAATCAGCAGGAAGTCAGCAATTTTATATTCCAAGGATGTGCATGAGTGCCTTCTTCAGTTTTAAATCTCCTTATTAAAAGATTTTGCACATGCATTGGTTATTAGCCTAGTACGAAACTATAACTGGAATTCTGAGGTTTTTCTCCTTTTTTCTTTTCAGAGTGTTGAATGTATGTTTTCTCCTACCTTTCCCTGCTTCAATAGCATTTCACTCAGTATCTTTTTGATCCTATTTGTATGTATCGATGTATTTGTGGGCTTGATGAAAAGGTGTTATCCATCCAACTGTGCCCCATTACTGAGGTTGTGCTAGTGCCACCCAATGCTTCTGTAACATAAGGAACACTTGCTAGGTTAATTTTTAAAAATGTGGTATATTATTACGCCATTGTCCTAACAAGCACTAGTTACAAAAAGATTGGTTTCTACTAGTACAGCATTCCTAGTGCTGAGCCACAGATGGATCCTACTTTATTTTCAATATGTATAGAGGATGAGGTGGCTGGATGGAGTCACTGGGGCAGTGGGTGTGAGCTTGGGTGGACTCCGGGGGATGGTGGAGGACAGGAGAGCCTGGAGGAATGTTGTCCATGGGGTCATGATGGGTTGGCATGACTTTGCGTCTAACAACAAATATATCGCTTTACATGTAAACAGATTTCCGAGTGGTAATCCATAAAAATAGAAAAATAATACCCATGATACAGAGTTGGGGATAGATATTCGCATATCAGTTTTCAACTGAAGGTCGGTGTATGAACCCCATTTTAGTGAGTAGCTCTTTGGTGATGCAATACAATTAATTCAAGTTCTTCTCCAGCTGCTTTAGTATTTTTGTTTATGTCCTAGCATAGGACCAGTGTGTGCTGTACAGGCCGCAGGTGGTTACTTAATATAATTTCAGCGGTATCTATAATAAAATGCCCTTATTTTGCCTCACTGTATCGTGAAGAACCAAGTCCTACACTTGCCATGATCTTTGGTTCACACCAGCCTAGTTTAACAGGATTTCTACATCATTTGTAATTCTCTCATAGGGAGCCATAGATTCTAATGGTCTCATGAAAATCTTTTGGGAAGACACCATGGCATTGAAATATTGGAAAACAACTCATGTTTGGCCCTATAGATGGAGTTTTCTTCACTTGTTTCCTACTTCAGAGCTCAATGCTTATGATGTGAAATGACAGGCTTTGCAGTCACTGTCCCCAACACCATCCTCACCTGGCAACTTTCCAGATTCCTTTCACATTCCTGTCCATTGCAAAAGAGATGCTAATACCTGTAAAGACCACTCTTTCTGCCACAACAGCCAGCCGGGCATGCCATTTGTAGGCTTGTAACAAGTAATTCCCACTTAGCACCTGTGGAATCAGGATGGCCAGTCCCTAGGGGATGACTGCCTTGAATAGTGTTAGCTTTTGTTTTGGTTTGGTTTGGTTTTTATTTTGATGACTCTCCTGTAGAGAAGCAGGACATGATTGAAGGAATCATCTCTACCATGTTGTTTATACCCAAGTAACAGCTAAATCCATCCATCTAATTAATCAAAGGGGAAAGAGTCAGCCAAGAATTGTTATGGAAATACTTTTTCCGTTCGTGGCATCCCATCTATGTCACAAATGGAAGAAGCACTTGTGCATTCCTGTTAAGAATTCCTTAATATCTCACAAGACTAAAAGAGCTAAAAACAAGTAAGTGAACCAAACCCACTTGCATGTCATGCCATATGGAGGTTTTGATGAGTGCATTGGCCTATTACTTGACCAGACCATCAGTTGACAATCTACTTACCATTGAAGCCTCTGGCACACAGTTTATTTTAGCTTTAACCATGGAATTAATATGTCACCAGATCTCACACTTAAGTTCTTGCTCTTGCATCTTGTGAGAGCTGGGCAGATAATGACTCATCAAGCACACCAGTTATGTGTGCAGCGGGAATGCACAACTCACGGCCTGTTGGCTATATGCAGCCCTCCGCCACTTCCAGTACAGCCTGTGGAGTCAGCACTAGTACTAGCTAGGCAAGGGAAGATGTCTGGACTTCCCAACCTGTTAGAGGAACATGTTTGTATGATTGTTGTTTTTGCCATGTATTTTTAAAGGGTTTAATCTTCAAACTGCCCAGAAAGCTTCAGCTGCTGTGCAATATAGAAACATAATAAATGCAATGTATCCAGGAGGTATATTTGTTATGATAAGGTACAGTTCAGTCTACTGGGATGCTGTGCTCTTAATCTGAGACTTTCTGAATGCTGAGTATTCTTTTTCACTTCCATTCCTGGAGTGTTTGTATATTGCTTTATTAATGCCCCTTATCAGCTAATCTCCAATTTGGAGCAAAGGCTTGGGTCCATCCCTGTGTAAAGCTGAAGGCATGTGGAATCAGAAGGTTTATGTATGCAATTTAACCTCCATGCACATGTTTTCCTTCTCTCCTCATTCTTTTTTAAATTGCAGACTGATGACTACTGAAAACGTGCTTTTACAAGCCAGGGAAGAGGAAGGAATAAAATATGAACGTACTTTCATGGCTTCTCAGATGATTGATTGGTTGATCCAGGAAGGAGAGGCTACCACAAGATCTGAGGCTGAGCAACTTGGTCGTAGACTGCTGGAACATGGAATTATACAGCATGGTGAGGCATTTGCGCTGCTCTTGACAGATATGTAAGAAGTGAAATCCCATACGACAGAAACATATTTTATTGTATTGCTTAACCACAGGGTGGGAAATCATTTTGCCTGGTGCGGGGTGACACTGGAGCTAACCGTGCTTGGGTCTACCACTTGCTTTTTGCCTACTTGCTTCCCAGTGGAATGCTGGGAAAAGGAGAGCTTGATTTTTCCCAAGGTCTGTGGGATTGAGGCTCCCCATGCCTGGAACCTCTCCTGTTTTGAAGTGATGGGCATTGTTAGTGACAAGAAAACAGCAGGGGAGTGTGGGTTTTTAACATTGTAGCTTCTATTTATCATTGCACTGACTGGATGAAAAATCCTGCAAAATTTGTGCAGCACAAATACAAGAGATGAGAATTGTCTTTTTGCATTGCCCAATCCAAGAGGAATTTGGCACTACTTACCCTTCCAGCAAGTACAGACCCTATGAGAGAGGGTCTTCTGGGGCCACACTCACTTCCAGCCATTAGATCTTTCTGTGGAAAGGCTCTGTGCAGGCAATGAATGTTATGGCCAGCTGAACTGCTGTGTATTCGACACATGTGCCAAGAGCCATGGTGAAAGGGGAACAGTGTAACTCCCCATGGGCTTCCTTTCCTTTGCTGTTCACAAGGAGCAGTTGGGCTGGTCCTTCCTAGAGTAGATTCTGCAAGTTCTCGTTGCATGGGTTCACTGCATCTTGGTATATTTGGATTTCTATTCTGAGGACATCTCTCTCAGGCCAAATGCAGGCCACTAGTTGTAGTGGCATTGTGAATGACCATGAGTTTATCATGGGCTACAAACACACTGGTTTGCAAATCTGGGGACAAGCAAAACAAGGACATTCTACAGGTCCCTGGAAGCCACTATGTATGGCTGGTAGTCTATCATGCTCAGTTTCATGACTCATAATTGTTGTAGGCTTTGAGTCAATATGCTGGATGTTTGGACTAATGTAGTCTATTGAGTTATCTATATTTCCTTTTCTGAGAAGTTTATATGTCCTTTTTTCAATCATATTTATGGAGGATTTGGTGGTGGTGGGAAAACTTGTGGGAAATCTGTGATTCAGAGTTTAGAACCTGCCAACGAAGAGCACAATCCAGCAAATTAGCTCCAACTAAGTCCAATTTAAAGCAATGGAACAAGACAGTCTTGGCTGTCTCGTAAGTCAATCGATTTTCACGCAATCAAATCACGAATCCAACTTTTTAGATTGTGCTAGTTTGTCACCAGCACAGCAGAAGTTCAATTTTTGCATCAGAGTGTGATAACAGTCTTGGGTTTTGTGGTTTGTCCTTCCTTCCTTCTTTAGATTTTAGGCCATAGAATTTAGCATTTATTACTCTTGTACTAGGCTATAAGGTGACCACTTGTGAAGCATCTCTAAAAGGAAAGACAAACATATGTCTAAAACTTATGTATAGATGAATATTATTATATATTTCTATAATGTAAATAAATGCATGCATCTCACTACAGTGTGGATGACTGTGATGAAGTAACCTTGCTTACCCTGCTGGGTGTTCAGGTGTTCCTTAACAAAAAAGAAGAACCAGGGATCTGTTCTGTGGCCAGGAAACCCCATACAGGAGAGGAAAGCCACACACCTTCCTGCCCAAGTCCTCCAGCAACTGTAACATTGCCTGTCACTGAAGGCAGCATTGCAGCCATCAAGACTGGTTGTAATTGATGGCATTCTTCTCCATGAATTTGTCCAGCCCCCTTTTACAGCCAGACAAATTGGTGGCCATCAATTTTATGGACATGAGTTCCATAATTTAACAATGTGCCTTGTGAAGAAGTCCCTCCTTTTATCTGTCCTGAATCTCTGAACAGTCAGCATCATGGGATGGTCCCATTGGGTTTGCAGTATTATAAGAGAAGGAGAAACATTGCTTTCTCTGCATCATACAGAATTCTGTACAACTCTATCATGTGGTACCTTATTTCTGAAAAAGGGAATCTCAGCTGTTGTAACTTTTCCTTACAGGGAAGTTGCTCCAGCCTCTTAATCAGTTTAGTTGCCTTTTCTGTACTTTTTCAAACTTTATCATATCCCTTTTTAAGTGTGGTGACAAGAACTGCACATATTCCAGGAAGTACTTCCTGCCACTTAGGACCCTGAGGGTATGGAATGGGCTTCCACGGGAGATGGTTGAGGCCCCATCGGTGCGGGTGTTCAAAGATAGGCTGGACATGCACATGGTGGGCATGTTGTAAGCGGAACTGGCTGGAGCTGGGGGTCAGACTAGATGCACCCTTCTGACTCGCTCTGTTTCTATGTTTCCGTGTTTCCAAGTGAATTGTAATATTCCAAGCGAGGTCACATCAAAAACTGGTTTAAGAGTCGTGTGTTGGTGGGCAGCTTTTGCTCCTGATGGTTTTTTATCCTTATGCTGGGCTTGGATTGGAGAGGCCTTCCCATAGAGGTCCCCTTGCCAAAAGTTATTGTCTTCTATTAAATACAGCACACAGCTAACTAGGTCATTCACCTGCTGCACTCTGGTGATGCCTGTATTTGAAGGGGCTGAAATACAACTGCTCAGAAGGAAAAGGAGGGGTTTTTTGCCGTGGTCTTTAATTGTACTCCTCTTGAACTTGTGCTGGAAATAGAGCAGTGACACCTGCCAACTTACATCAGAGCTGTGCGATTGCTCTTGCTGCCAACTTGCGATTTAGCTGGTGCTCAGCTACTGGGTGCTCAGCGTATAAGTAAAATGAACACCACTGGTCTCTGGAGCAGAACAAGCATGTTGCAGGTAGGAGAGGAAAGTGAGAAGCAGCTCAGGGAAAGACAGAGAGCATGCAAAGAAGGGAAATGGCTGGAGGTGCTTGATCTCGACCCATGTGGGTCCTGCTTACTTCCTGCAGCACAGTTAGCATGATGGTTGGCTTAGCCATCAGCTTTGCTCCAGCCTTTCCTTGTTTCAGGCAGGTTGCCCACCTCAAGAAACAAAACCAAACTGGACATCACAAAAGAGCAGGTACGCATGAGGTGCTAAGCTGCCTTACTTCCCATGTGCTCCATATTGGTGGTAGGATGCCTCCTACCCTCCCTCCAGTCTTCCAACAGGTATCCCGACGTTGCTGGGGCAGAGAAACAAGAGAAGTCGACCACAGCAATGGGCACCACTGCCCACTGTGCTCAGCCAAGAACTAGTCTCTTGGCTACTGCCCCACGGTGCCCAGTCCCCGCTTGTTTGCTTCCATGCCAGGTTGAGTGGGGAGGAACAAGCTGCTTTCTATAGGACTTCCTCTGTGGGAGATCCTGCAAAATTCATTCCTCCCATGTGCCACCTCCTTGCCCATCTAGGGTTCAAGGGAGTGTCACACAGCCCTAGCAAAAGCCATGCGAGCACTTTGGGCTGGTCTGGACAGCATGGCAAACCATCATGAGGAAAACCCTTACAACAAACCACGGTTAATCAGGGTGTCTTACACACCAAATTTAAGCCACCCTGACAAAACCATCCTGGATTCACATAACACTAAGCCACCATGGTGTCAAAGCCACAGTTTGCCATGCAAACCCAGTTAGTGCCTTTGTTCTTTCATCCTTTACTTGAGAAAATGTTCCAGAAAATAGAGTGAAGTGAAGGGGTGATGTAACATCACAACAGTAGCCTGTGAGCACTGGAGCTGCGTTACACTGAGACCTGGTTTGCACACAACAACATGCCAGAGGACAGGTTGAGTATGATGGTTGCATTATGGATTGTCACTGAATCATGGGTTGCTGCTGTGTGTGAACTAAGAGTTGTTCACCATGAGCAACCAAGAATTATCGGGCTCTCGTGCTGACCTGTTGCGCGATGAACTGTCCATAATTAAATCACGGTGCTGGATTTGTGCATAATGGCAACTCATGATTCAACATGTTCTCCCCTGCAGAGGAGGGCAGGACACGCTCCAACAGAGTGAAGCTCAGGGAACTAAGGTTCAATTTAGATGCCAGGGAATACTTCCTGACAGTTAGGACCCCAGGGGTATGGAATGGGCTTCCATAGGAGGTGGTTGAGGCCCCATCAGTGAGGGTGTTCAAGGATAGGCTAGACATGCACATGGTGGGCATGTCATGAGCAGAGCTGTCTGGAGCCGGGGGTCAGACTAGATGGACCGGGAGGCCCCTTCTGACTTACTCTGTTTCTATGTTTCCATGTTTCTAACATCAACCTAGTCTCTGGGCAGTTATTACAAATGAACCAACCCAATGTCAGACAATTTGCCCATCTGTTTTCAACACTGACTGGCAGCAGCTTCTTGGGGTTTCAAGCAGCAGCATTTCTCAGCCCTGATAGAAAATTCTGCCATATGACAGAATTGGTGGCTCTTGGTGGCTCTGTGGTATAGTGGAATAGCACAACTACAATGTAAAAAATCTGTTCTTTCCTTTTCTCTATTAAATGCCACATTTGCCCTGATCTAAAAAGTCTTACCAGAAGTATTCCTTAGACACAGATGTGAAACTGGTGGGCCATGACATTTAAAGGACCTGTAATCAGCTCTAAGCAAAGACGTAAATGTCTTGGACAAAAGTACATGGACAAAGTTCATCTCCTCTCCTGAGCTGAGAGAATAGTGAAGGATTCTCTCTCATCTTCTAGTATACTCAGAGGTGCTTGGACATCAGAAGCAGAACGGCTTTTTTCTCTCTGGCAACCACACATTTTGGCAAGCTACCAAGGACATGAATTGATTGACCCCACTATGTTCCATCCAAGTAACCAAAGTGTTCTCATGGACAGGCACAAAAGGCAATGCTCTGGAATCACAGCTAGAATTGCTGTATGCAAGTTACTCATTTCAGTTTAATGCTAGCAACGGGAATATTCTTCCTGACTTCCCAAGCACCTTGGATGAACAAGATGGGTAGAGCCCACTGACATGAGCTCTTTGTTTGTCATTCTTTGCCCGTAGGAGAACTGGTTTAAAGGAAGATTCAGCTATCTCTATAGATTTCATTGCTTTCTTGCTA